CCCCCCCCGCGTGGATCTCAAATAAGAAATTCCCTCCAGAGGAAGTGTCATTTAAAATTACATGGCATCTAGGCTGAAAGCAGTCTTGAAGGAGGAGGTTTGCTTTGCTTAGCTGTTGGTTATTATTTTCTGGGTAGCTATATGCACTTCAAAGACATAAGTCACTGAATAAAGCCACCCTGCTGTCTCTTTCCTTCATGGCTAATGGCAGGTACACCTAGCTACAGACCTGATCCTGCAAACACCTGATGCTGCACTTCATGTTTCTACTACATATTCCCACCGAAGCAATAAACACAAGTAGGATTTAACTTGAAGTTGTATCAGCTTCCTGCCGAAGCACATTGAGTCTGAAAAAGCTTTTTAAAGTGCCTCTGCATCACTTTGGGGTTTGTGCATTTGCTTGAAGAAACAAGTTAATTTTAAACATTTTTTTTTCCCCCCCTCTCCCTTTAAGGATATAGCTTTCTGCAACCAGAATCCATGGAAGCTGTGGCCAGAAGACAGGAATTGGTTCAAAAGCAAAACATTGCCAGGTAATCAATAGTAAGCTTTACTCTGAGGTACGTGTCAGGATTAGGGCAGCAAAGGCAGATGGAAATGATTAAGTCGCAGACTTTTTGTGGGTTTTTACTTACAGTGATTGAGATACTTTTTCAAATCCCCCAGAGAAGCAGAGGGTCCTCAATTACCTCTGAAGGTCTCCAGCTACTGAGCTTCCTGCTTGCCCCTATTCTGCTTTTAGCCTTAAAATAATATAATAAAAAGAAAAAAAAAACCCAAAACTTTCAGCTTGGTTAAAGAAACAAAGCTACAAACTTCAGCCCTAGCCCTTGAACTCTAGATCCAAACACCCTGAAATTACAAAAAGTCAGAAACAAATCCAAACTTTACAGCTGTGTGCTATCACACACAACATTTTAAGCCTCTACATCTGGGCCCTTAGGATGATTAGCTATGTCTCCACCCTACCAGGGTAGACAGCTTTCCTAGTTTAACCAAATAGTCTGAATGTCAGGGTGACTACAGGGAGTCCAGTTATTTGTACCAGTTTCAGTGTAATCAGTAGCTGGTTAAGTAACCACCAGTGCCCTCCCTCACAGCCACACCATTTCCATAGAGGAACTCTAACTTCAACCATGCCTGCATTGGGCTTCAGCACAGTACTGAGTAGCAGCGCCCCTCACACACTAAGACTAAGAGCAAAGAACCATTAAGTTCTGAGTAAGCACCCCAAAAGAATTATGACAGAAGCATTTTGAGCTCTTCAGTCAGCAAAGCTTGATTGCTGAACCCCTCCAAGCACAAGATCTCTATCAACAATGCATTTACATACAGCTCCTGCCACATGGCAAAAACCCTGAGAAAAGCAAGTAAAATAGCTAGCAGCAAGCAGGGCCGGCACATGTCCCCTCAAGCACATCAGAGCTGGTCCTGCCTGTTCAGGCTTTTCCCTCAGCGTCCCCTCAAGCACATCAGAGCTGGTCCTGCCTGCCCTCAACCCCCCAAACCCAGGAAAAAAACCCAACATAAAAGAGCTCAGTCTAAACCTATGAGATAACATTTTACCCCAGTCTTTTGCCATCCTGGAAACTTCCACTAGCTTCACACTGCCTTCTACCAGCACACATCACCTTTACAGCTGCACTGGCTCCTTTCACCCTTTATAGAAATCAGGTGCTGGCAAACAATCTCCTGCACTTGCTGCAGCTGTGCTGCTGAGCACCTGGGAGCAAACCCTTGTTCTCCAAGGGACTCTGCCTCATCCCAAAGCTCAGTGAGCCCCCATCTGCTGGTCCTCAGAGGAACTGACTATCTCATCTGGAGGAGTAGTCAGGAACATAATGCTCTCTGCTGTTTATCTCCACCTGAAGAGCTGTGTGTATGTAATGACAATTGGGCAAAGATGTACAAGGACACAGTACATAGACAAAACACTTCCACGGGATCTCTGAAAGCAGAAAATTAATAATTTGGAGGTTGTTGCGAAGATGAAAAGAGGGCAGAGAAAAATCCCTGAATGTTATGGAGTGATCAACTAATTCCTCCTTGCAGCAATCATCTGAATAGATACTTTTGCCCAAACTGTGTTCCTGACATTAACGAGAAGCCTCCTAAAAGTCAGACTCTCTCTGACCTGTCATCCTCATTGCACTGTTAAGAAAGCTATCTTGGCACACTTTGAAGACTTGGCTGCCCTCACAAGCCCTTTTCCAAAGACAAATGTGGAAGTCCCACTGAAAGCTCCTCAAAGCAAGGAAGGCAAGCTGAACCATACCTGGTTTGTGTCTGGTAGATTGTCTCCTCCCTTCTCTCAGCTCCAGCTGAAGCTGTGGAGCTCTAGGAGCTATAGCTTTCTGTCTGATCACTAAGCTTGGCTCCAGAGAAAGCTGATGCCAGCAAAGGTTGGTACAATGGAGACACATACTACTCCTTGTATTCTCATATCTCACTGGTAAGTGTTCCTACCTGCTATGCCGGGGGCAGGAAGCTGCCACAGACCCTGGAGCATTGGCTTTATCCACCAGGAGGGAGATGAGTTGAACACAGACCACCAGGATCTCACCCTTTCACACTCTCAGGGCCATGCTCAGGTACCAGGCACTATGGGGAGTGACTCAAGAGACTTACATTAGCTTACTCTGAATGTATGCACAGGTTCCCTAGATGATATAATTCTAGTTCTTTATCACTTGCAGTATCACTGCCATTTTCCAGTTTTCAGTGTAAGTTTCTGATTGGTAACGTAAATAATTTATTTTCTTTAGTCTTTGACCCTTATGACCCTGGAGACAATTTTCCAAATCCCAAGTGAGAATAATCACTGTAATAATGCCTGGATTTCCAATACACAAAGTACACTTTTTTGTCTGAAATGTTATCCAAAGGCACCACATGGAAGATATATTTTCTCTTCCTTTCAGTTTACTATATGTATCTGGCAGTGCATTAAATATAGCCAGGTTTGTCATTCCATCTGCAGTTTGTGACCTCTCACACATAGCAATATAGTGGAGAGAGAAGAAAAGCAGTGCTCTTACCTATTCAACCATCTGAGTTTTAATCTGCCACTGAAAAAAAGAGGCAATGAAAGAACTGACCTGCCCTAACTGCTTATGCTCTGTGTGTCTCTTAGAATGGAAATGGAGATGAGTGCTATTTTGCAGCAAAAAGAAATGGAGAAAGCTCATCGGAAAGGGCTACTGGGCCTGGAAGCACCTTTCCTTTACCACGGGATGCCAGCTAGTCCCATTGCTTTCCGTGGCAGGCACAGACTACCTGAAGGCCATCTTCCCAGCGACTTATATGTTCATCGTACCACCCTGGATGAAATTCATGGCAACACTATGCTCATGGCAACCAGCCCATACCCCCCCGTCAGCACTTTGCAAAGGGAGAGGGGACGTCGACCAGGGAGAAGAGCTGGAAATCACAAAACTGCAGACTGTAGTGCCAATGGCACAAAGAACCAAGCTGACGACAAAACCATGGACCCTGCTTCAGCTGCAGTGGATGATGAGAAAGAAGACAAGAAAGAAGCAGAGGTGGAGACACCAAACAAACATGAACAAAGCAAAAACCAGACCGAGCCATCTGCAGTTGCCAAAAACTGTAAAGAGTTTGAACAAAGCTTGAGAAAAAACTGTGCTACTCATGAAATTTCTGCTGAAACCAACAGCTGCAGCAATACAAATGAGAAGGAATCTAATAGCTCCTGTGCTGCTTTTGATGACAAGTACATGTACCCTTCTGCAATCCCATTCTCAGCGTTACCATATGGATTTCCAATACCCAGCAACCCATTGCTACCTTCAGGTTTGTGAAGTCTCCAGATTACAGTTAGAGTGGCATGTTGATATTATTTATTTTTATTAATTTGCTCTCTTATTTCTTCCCTCTGTTTTAAGTAAACTTTTGGTATGATAGAGTCATGGCAACTAAATGTAGAATTCATACGCTGCAAATAGTACTAACTTGGGAAATCCAAATCAGCAAAGGTGAAGAGTGGTGTTCCCTACCTGCACACAATGGAGGTTTCAGCATCTCAGGTAGCAGCGCCTTACTTTGCAGGACAATGCGATTGCCAGGCAAAAAGTCACAAAGCACCTTCCTGACTGTTTCAATGCTCTATGCCACACACCATACCGCTGCAGGATGTCATCCTGTGTTTATATCAGTCCCTGGGGACAACACTTGTCAACCCTAAGCTGTCAAGTTCAGCAGCACTTTGAGGTTCTCCACAATTCTGTTCAACATTACATTGTCTCCTCTCCTGGTGGTCGGGGGGAAATGTAGCAGCAGGAAATATACTGATCGTAATCCCTGCATGTTTCAAACAGGTCAAGGTATCCCCTTAGAAGCTACACTCATCTAGGAATAAATTTATCCCTGAGACTTGACCTCCCCAAGAACAGAGCATAAGCTGCAGGCCTCTCCAGCCACTGTGCAAGAATCATCGTTGCTAAAGCTTTGCAGCTCTTCTTAAACGCACCAGTGGCAGTGGATAAGCCCTGCAAAACTTCCCATTACCTGAAATGAGAACAGGCTGGAGTGTTTGTCCAGGATCATCTACCAAAGACATACTGTATCACTGAAAAATATATAATGCACATTAAGTATTCAGTTCCTGTCTGCAAAAGAAATTTCAATTAAAATAAACAGAATTGCTGAATGAAATGGTGAGCTAGCCTCTCTCTTCTGCCCGTAACTTTTCTATATGGCCTTCTAACTCACAGCAGGCACTATGAGTTAGCAAAGGCTTGGTTCTGTTCTACTGAAATACTAGTCATGTTAAAATAACAGTAAAGTCTAAAGAATCAAAAGCATTGGATAATATACTCATTAGAGAAAACACTGCAGTATGATTTGTATGTATAGTGACTGGTATGTACAGTACCAGCAGTAAACAAAAGAAGCCACCAGAAGAAAACCCTCCAGAATCAGCTACTACTGACGATGTGGTGATTTTGGTGTCTAGGACTCCAGTTATCTGTGGCTACACACTGCTGTTAACGTATTAGGTTCTGGAGAAGTGTAAAAATTTTCATGTCATTTCCTATTGATTTGCCAGCAAAGTCCTACAAACATAACACTTGCATTTCCTCCTCAAAGGAGCACATGGCCTGATCCTGAATGGGGAAGACATTTCTTCCATTGAAGACATTCGCAAGTGGACCGTTGATGATGTATACAACTTCATCGTCAGCCTCCCAGGCTGTTCAGATTATGCCCAGGTGATAATAAACATCCATCACATTTTCAGGTCTTTAGGAGCACCTAGATTTAAAGGTCATCAAACAAATGTAAATGTTGGAGGTTAATTGGTTGTCACAAAGTTACAAACGCAATAGTAGTTTTCATTGTGCTTCAACATATGAAGGCACTTGCTTCTTAAAGGGAAAGGCAGTGCCTGCTCGGAGGGGTTACACGCACTTGTGCTGCAATCTGGAGATATTGGTCATGACACATACCAGGAGGACCAGCAGCAAAACAAGAGTATAAGTAAAATATCTTAGCCCTGCACAATTTTTATGCAGTAGCAGCAAAACAAGAGTATAAGTAAAATATCTTAATTTTTTTCACCCCACTAGCCCTGCACAATTTTTATGCAGATTAAAGCAATTTTGCATTCTTGGATATTGGTAAAACCTGTCTACCGCCCTGAACTCTTACAGGCACTATTCAATTTGAAAAACGGAGTATCATTAGAAATGCAAGCAAAGAGGTTGAAATCTTGTGTATTCCTGGTAAAGCCTTCATGAGATCAATGCTATTCTGTCATTGGTAGTAGACTGCCAAGAGCCAAGAACAAGCAGAGAAGCTACAGGCAAATGTGCTGATATGCACACACCTCATGCTGCAGTTAAGAGATAAATATGAAGATAAACCACTCAAATTATTATTTCCTCCTTTTACTGTCTATGCCTCAGGATTAAGCATAAAAAATAACAAGTGGAGTTTGTTTTAGCACACCATGATATGTTTTATCATTTCATAAGGTATTTAAAGACCATGCTATTGATGGAGAAACCCTCCCGCTGCTAACAGAGGAACATCTCCTGGATACAATGGGATTAAAACTCGGACCAGCATTAAAAATCCGCTCTCAGGTATGACCATTAAACGTATGCCAAAATGGCAAGTCATAGAGACATGAAAGAGTCAGAAGGTAACAGGATGAAATTTTTCCAAAATAACCACATTTCTCACTGATAAGGTGACCATCATAATATTAGGAGAAATAAGTCCAGCATAGTTTGCTTTTGCTTCTCTTGGTGTTACCACAGCATGCAGAGAGACACTAAGGGGAGGTTAGGACTGACAGTTTGAGGGATACTTAAAGTGGAGTCAGGATACAACAACACTGGAGACTAGGCTGAGGCTGGAAATGGAAAAGACCTGTTTGACGAATTAGCTCAGTTCCACTCCTCTTTTCCTTCCCCAGCTGGTAAGAACTGCTCTGATACACATTTGCTTTTGCTCCAGCCTGGCTGTTCAAACATACTAAGTAGAGGTTCCTACAGCCTTTTCTGGGACTATAATCTTACAGGTCCCACTGTCAGGCTGTCCCTTTATGTTTAAAGTTTTCTGCTCTTAATATCAACTCTCTGTGTGTTTCTATTGTTGCCTGGTTCTTTTCCTTTTCTTTAACCCCTTGCGCTCCTTCACTCTTCTCTCGCTAAAACCACCTTCCCCACTCCTGGCTGGCAGTTTGCCTCCCCTCTGTCCCATGGGTGCTACAGCACCTAGAGAGCAAGAGGAGCATGCTGTCAGACCCAGCATGCTGGGCTGTTTCCCAAGCCGAGTATTGCCAAGCTCCTTCCACAAGAACCTGGGCCTAGATAAATATGGGAGGGAAAACGGAAGAGATTTTTTTCACTTTTGCTAATCACTTTGAGATGGTTGGGATCTCCTGGATGTCCCTGGCATTGCTACATGACAGTCAGCTTTGACATTTAATGGCTTTAACACCATCTCAAGAAGCAATTGCTGCAATCGTGTTTTTGTCTTTAAAGGTGTCTCGACGTCTGGGCAACGTGTTCTACATGATGAATCTTCCTCTGTCCGTGCCCCTACCACCTGCTCCAGGCAAACCCTCACATCAGCCCTCCGACATAGCCTCCCCCCTTCACTGCAACAGCAGTGGCGATACGCTGGATAGTCCCTGCTCTCAGGACCCAGAAACTTCAAAAGCAGTGGAACAGATCGTTTCAGAAAGCAGGGAAAATCCATGTGACGCAGCTGGATCTCAGGCTGACTTCCAGATGATCACTTTTCAGAAAAGTTGAGCTGAGTCCAGGAAAGTGTTTTTAATAAACAGGAACCTCTGGTTACAAAGTGTTTGAGAAGATAGCTACAGCCTGAAACCTCTGTATGACTGCAGCTGAATGAAATAAGCTGTAAATGCAGCATGAGGAAGCATGGTATCTGAAAAGCATTTAAAAAATGCAACTACATGCTAGTGCAATTACTTTCAAGTGCAATTCAGTGAAAAGAATACCAGTACAGTTAACAGGTAAATTTAATTTTTCATTCAAGTCCAGTGTTAACACTGAAGTCTGTCAGGCTCAAGAGTGCGCTGTCTTACAGTGTGTTCCTGCT